GCTTTGGGCCTATCGAACCACTCCAAGACGACCCACGGGAGAAAGCCCATTTGTTATGGCATATGGGTCCGAAGCTGTCATTCCTACCGAGTCCATAATCCCAACCCTTCGGACATCCTTGGTGCTGGAGGGGAACAATGAGCAACAACTCGAACATAGCCTTGATTTGGTGGACGAAAGGAGAGATGCAGCAGCAATTCGACTCGCGGCCTACCAACAACAGGTGTGTAACAGTTATAACAAACGCGTCAGGATCAGGAGTTTTGTGGTAGGCGATTGGGTGTTGAAGCAGGAAACAGCTCATGTAAAGAAACTGGAACCTCATTGGACCGGACCCTACAGAGTTACCGAAGTAGTGGGGAAATGAGCATATCGTTTGGCCGAAGCTGGCGGACGCCCCATTGCGCGTCCTTGGAACGCAATACACCTGAAAAGGTATTTCCATTAGTTAAGTTTGTCAATTTTGCTATAAGTTCTTCACAAATAAGGCTGAATATGTCCGCAGTTAGCCAAACTTTTCTTTATTTTGCTTCTCTATTCAATATCACTCTCCTCTGTTTTTGTTTCTTTTTATAAAAATGGGGAGTCATACGAACTCTATGATTACACAATTTTTATGCGCATGCCAAGTAGCACAAAACAATGATTTTTACAAAACAAAAACAAAAACGAACAAAACACAAACACAAAAACCAACAAGCACACAAGACACAAAACACATGAATTATGGCCTGTGCTTAAAACTTTCTATCCCACATCGATAAAACAGTATGTGCTACATTATGTTATATATGGGAATATTCAAATAGTTAATTACGGTGTAAGGAGGGCCCACTGGTATTTAAAGCTGTCAAGCTCAATACCAGAGGCATTCCTTACACCGACTTTTTTGACAAAATTTAGTCTATGTCCCACATCGGATAGAAATAGAGAATAAATGCGGTTCATATATGCGCGGTCCACAACATTTGGCTGCCAAGAAGGGAGTATCAGTGGAGGCAGGTCTCTAAAGTCGACAAATGGAGAACTTCACAGCCACTGTTACTCGCTTTCTTGGCCTCCTATCATTTTGAGTCTTCAGCCTCATAATAAGTGATTTGAGGAAAAATATGAAATAAACCTCCCCTCAGGCTCAGCGCCGGGGAGTAATTCATTCGCCTCGGACCCTAAGTGTCCGGCTCGGCAAAACCTCCCCTCTGGCTCAGCGCCGGGGAGTGATTCATTTAAACCTCCCCTCGGGCTCAGCGCCGGGGAGTAATTCATTCGCCTCGGACCTCAAGTGTCCGGTTCGGCACAACCTCCCCTCAGGCTCATCGCCGGGGAGTAGTTCTCTCGCCTCGGACCCTAAGTGTCCGGCTCGGCAAAACCTCCCCTCTGGCTCAGCGCCGGAGAGTGATTCATTTAAACCTCCCCTCGGGCTCAGCGCCGGAGAATAGGTCATTCGCCTCGGACCCTAAGTGTTCGGCTCGGCGAAAATCTCGCCTCGGACCCTAAGTGTCCGGCTTGGCAAAACCTCCCCTCTGGCTCAGCGCCGGGGAGTGATTCATTTAAACCTCCCCTCGGGCTCAGCGCCGGAGAATAGGTCATTCGCCTCGGACCCTAAGTGTTCGGCTCGGCGAAAATCTCACCTCGGACCCTACGTGTTCGGTTCGGCAAAACCCCCCTCCGGCTCCACGCCAGGGAATGTATAATTCGCCTCGGATCCTGAGTATCCGAGGCAGCTTCGGACCCTAAGTGTCCTATTCAGATCAGAACTCTTTCCTCCGGACTCCAAGTGTTTAATACCTTGTGTATGCGGATATGTCATAAGTTCATCATATTCCACCCCACATCAGGAACACATGAGAAGGAAAGAGTATGTATACTGAAGGCGAGGAAGGTTCATTTAATAGTTAAATCATTGTCCATACGACTCGTCCTGCGATGTCAACTAAACTGTTAAAAGGATCTCCTTCTTCCCACAATCCTTGCATTTTCACGGATAGCATAAATCCGAAGTATAAAGACAATGTTTAGTGTTTAAACACATTACCAGTCAGAGAAATATATCAAGAGCATATAGCAAAAACAAGTCAGGCAAGCCTAAAACGAAAAGTTATATTCATTATCCCAAAACAGGCTGTTCATAAAAACAAAATACATAGTTCTACTTCCTCTTCGGATCGAAGGGAGTAGATTCAAAAGCATCCACTACATTAGGACTTGAGGTAGCTGCAGGAGCAGGGGAGCTAGGAGTACCCTTCAGGTGTGCCTTCACCATCTCGGCAAAGCGAATTTCAGCTTCCAAAGCCTCTGGCCCTTCATCATATGGGAAGTGCACCCCCACCTGCTTGTCAAAGGCGTCCGGATCCATCGTCTTAGGGCCTGAGCCCTGATTATAGCCAGACCGGAACGGCTTAGCACTAGCCAGGTGCGCCAGACAGGAGTAGCGCCCCTGCATTTGCTTCCCCGCCTTGAAGCAAGTAGTAAGAGCCTCGGTCAGGCGTTGAACCTCGGCCTGAAGAGAATCCACCTTAGCCGCAGAGGCTGACAACTGCCTCTTATACGCATCCTTGGCTTCAGAAGCTATCTTCAGATTGGTAGAGGCAGTAATGGCTCTCTTCTCTGCATTGTCAAGATCCTTTTCCAACTTCTTGATGGAGAGGGATTGAGCTTCAGCAGTGGCGCAGAGGGCCATGGTGTGGTATAGACTCTGTTTAACAGGGAAGCAAATATAAGCATAAATAGAAGCACAAGCAGGCAAGAGTAGCATAATTCTGAAGGTGCAATGCGAACCTCTATGGCCCGGACTGGGGCAGAGGGGAGTAGTTGCTCCAACCCCATTTGGCTGATGGCTTCCTCGTCCTTTGGGAGCCACATTCCTCGAGCCACCGCCAGTGCAGCTGAAGGGTTTGTAACCACAGAATCCCCTGAGTGTAGGACTGACCTGTCAACCCTGGTGAAGGAAGGAGTCCAAGGAGCTCCAGTCTCAGCAAGAACAAAGGCCCTGACTTCATCTTCAGGTTCAGCCTCCCCAGCTTTTTTCCCTCTGCTTTTAGAGGGGACTTTGCCCTTGCCAGAGGAAGAGGGGTTGAGGCGAGATTTCTTCAATGGTGGTTCCTCAACCTCCACCTCATCCTCAGTTGATCCAATGACGACCAAGGGTTGGGCATCTCCGGCTTTCTTTTTTAAAGCCTCAGCCCGCCGTATCTCCTCCTCGGTCATAGGGAAACTGTCAAAGGATGGTAAAGCCAGGTCCATGAGGTCTGCAGCAACGGCACTGGAAGCAATGTCCTTGAGGTTGGAGGAAGTTAGCAGGTCCTCGATAGGCGAGGGGTTACTCCAGACTCGTTCCTCAAGAAAAGAAAGTCTGTTCCTTGCTGCGGAGGCCGGGAATGTAGCTGAAAAAACACCAAGAAATTCATAAATACGGCGAAATATTAAGACTTGGCAAGGAAAACAGCCAGAACACTTGGTATGAAGGGAGGTTAAATATTCTATACCTAATTTCCTGAATTTGCGCGGAATGGGAAGCGCAATTGATTGGGACACGAACCATTTCCCTTTAACTACAACCATCCTTTCTTTCCATTTCTTTTCGGATGAAGGAAGGTTCGTGCATATCCTTTGATGAAGGGGAGAGGTAAAAAAGAAGCGACCAGGCTCGGTCCCATGCTTAGATATATTGTAAGTAAGCAGAAGGTCGGCAAGGGTCAAATCCAGAGCCTCTAATTTCCGGCGCACCAACAACGCCGAAAGGATGCGAAAGAAATTGGGATTTACTTGAAGGGGGGCAAGACCTAGCTTATTGAAAACTAAATGATAGAAGGGATGAAGAGGGAATCGGAGGGCGTTAAGGTGCCCTACAGAAAGAAGCAACTCATCCTCCTCAATTCCCTCGCCGGAGGTGAAATCGGCACCCTCGGGATATTCTGCAATGTCTACTCCTTCAGGAACATCAAATTCTTCCATTACCGAAGCAATAGAGAATTTGATGCGGCGAATAGAGATGATTGCTTTCTTCTCTTCATGGGTAAGAACGTAATCAGAGCCTGAGGTGGATGTTTCGGTTGGAAGAGGGGAAGTACCTGATGGATTCAACGAAGGGCGATCTGTAGAAACCCTAGGAGGGGGAGCCCTAATGCGAATGGGGGAAGATGAAGGTGTGGATTCAGAATCCCCAAGGTCTACACGTTCGGGAGTAGATGAAGTACTCATAATGAAAGATTGAAGAGAAAGATGCGAGACTAACCTGACAAAGCGAAGGAAGCGATTAAATGAAGGACGCAGAAGTGCAGCAAGGGCAAATGTAACTCTTGCAAAATCTTGTGCGACGGAAGTGATAACAAAAGGCCATGAACCGTTTCTGAAGCAAAGTGAAAACCGGTTTCAATTCCCTCTTTAATAGGAGCCGTCACTCAATTAAAAATGGAATTTGGGGCAAAGTGTGGAGGGAAAAAAACTCCCTCCAATAAAAAACGCACACGTCACCACTACCCATATCTACAGGCCAAGGACATATAAGGCCCATCATGCTCAAGCCCAAGTTGAGGGTATTTACAGCCCAAGACCATTCCATCAAGGCCGACTCAAGAAGCCATCAGCTCAGCTTGTCGTCAGCCCAGATATGAGTATTTAACATCCGGCTTGTTACCCAAGCCCAGCCGGATCAAAATATATTCAGCCCAAGAATGCACAAATCCTACCATTTGAAGAATTTACCGTAGAAGGAAAATTCGGATAGGAAGTTCTGTACAAGGCAAGTTTTATGTATGGAAAATTCAACAATGGAAAGAACTCTATTAGAAAAGTATGGTTATATAGAAAGAATTGGAGGCAACGCGAGTCCTACCATAATTTTGCAATCTTTTGTATATAAATAGAGGCTAAGACCTCCAATAAAGGATCAAGCAATTCCACACTTCTCTACACATTGTTCTCATTTATTTTTATTGTTTTTGAGTGAGTTGTTTTATTTTTCTCAGTCATTATTGGTTGAGCGAAATTTTGCACCTACAGATATGATTCTGGACAAGTTGGTTTCGTTTTCTGAATATGTTCGATTTGGTGCGGTTTGCAAACCATGGCAGTCTGTGGTAATGGATAACAAATTTAAATTCATTCAAAATAAGTTTTTGAGACAAGTTCCATTCTTGATGGTGCTTTCGAAAGATAATAGTGACGAAAGACGTAGTCTATACAGCACCACTCATAATAAGGTATTTGATTTTCAGTTACTCGTACCTTATCAGAAGAGGCTTTCCGGTTCCTCACATGGTTGGTTATTTACTGTGGAAGAAACCTTCGGCATAACCTTAATCAACCCATTCTCTGGTGCTACCATTGAGCTTCCTCCAATTATGGACCTCTCATATTTCTATCCTCCTGATGATGATGATGATGATGATGGCGGCGATGGCGATGACGATGGCGATGACGATGACGACAATGATTCTATTGAGGTTGACTTTGAAGTTGTAAAGACTACATTGTCAGCTGACCCTGCTTTGTATCCTAATGACTATATTGTTACTGCCACCTATAGTGGTCACAGAAGACTGGCATTCATTCTGCCCGGAGACAAAGCTTGGACTTACTTAGATAAAGAAAGATTTCAGCTCTTCTATGATGTCGTATATTATAAAGGCCTGATTTTTGCTGTTGATTTTAGGGTTAGAGTCCTAATGATTGATGTTAATAGAAAGGATGGGAAGAGTAAGGCTCCGCAAGTGAAGGAAATTGCACCGCAGACTAATGCGGATTCTCAACGGACGTATCTTGTTGAATCATCTAGTGGGGATTTACTCCTTGTACAAAGGTTTTTAAAAGTTGGAGATGATTTACAGCATGCAACTTCAGGGTTTAAGGTTTTCAAGTTGCTCTTAGAGCAATTTGAGCAGGGTCAGGCTATGCGGGTTGAAGTGAAGAACTTGGGTGGAGACACCCTGTTTTTGGGAGATAACCAATCCATTTGTGTTTCAGCTTGCAAATGGCCCGGATGCCAGCCAGATTCCATCTACTACACAGATGATTATATTGAGATTCTAGCCCGTCTTCCACACGGGCGCCGCGACATTGGTATCTTCAACATAGAGAGTGGAAGATTTGGGCGCATTACATCCTTGATCCTTCACATAAGGATATGCCACCCTCAATTTGGATTGTGCCAACTGTGTTAGGTAATTGAGTTGAGACTTAATTGTTTTGAGTGTCTTTTGGTCAAATCTAATTTTATTTAGTTTTTTTGTGCTGAGCATTTTTGGTCAAATCTAATTTTATTTAGTTTTTTTGTGCTGAGCATTTTTAAGTGGTGAAAAACATGTATTTTTATCTGTATCGAATATGAGATCAAGTTTGTAAGACAAGGAGGACTCGGAGAAACGAGTGCTCTTTTCCTATATTGCATGGTGTGTACTCAAAGCATTTAATTAAGGAGTTTAAGTAGGTGTGTTTTTTATATGTAGACTTGTACATTTATTATTTTATATTTCGTCATTTCGTCTTGCAATGAAACTGTGTGTTGAATTGAATGTCTTGTCACCACGTTCCGTTTGCCATTTTTATCTACCATGTTTTCCATTCCATTGACAAGCAGTCCCCTCTTTTTATGCTCCCAGTTGATGTGGTGAAAGTATAATACTAAGAAGTAGGCATGACCTTTGTTGTTCAAGGGAGATAAAACATAATCATATAATAATAATATAATATAATTTCATATTGCGGCGCACCCGAAGCACCAAGAATAATACCAAAAAAAAAAAAAAAGAAAAAAAAAAAAGGAATTTCGATGTGTGTTGTGTGTGTGAATAAAATATGTGAGACATATTTCTGTTACAGCATCTTCGATCTACCTAACCTATATCTTTTATTTAAGCCTCAATTCCCGAAAGATGCTTTTATATATTAATTTCTATGTTTTTGGATTTTGAAGTCGTGTTTGGTTGCCACTTGCCATTGGCTTTCCCCATATACAATTAGTTCTCTCACTTGGTTTTTTATACCTTTATTTTTTTGTTATTTACTTTCTCACATTATTCATTATTTTATTTATGATGTGTTACAATCTTTGCACTTGCCAATTATATATCAAAGTTTCATATTTGCCAGAGGAAATTTGTATGGTATTAAAGTAGAAAGGTGTTTAACTAAAATCTTACCATCTCAAAACTGAAAAGGATCATACTCTGATTCATGCTTTAGAACTTGAATCTGCCATTTCTATTTTCTGTTTTTTGGCATCAAATCAAGTGAGAATCTAATTGCCTCCATCATCATCATGAAGATTTTCACTTTCATAATTTAACCAAATGCATAGAGCATTTAAAGACATGTAAAGTAATAGTTTGACAATAAATTAGTTCAGACCCTCATGTATGTGTGGATGAGTGGTCCTTTGGCTCCCATTTGGCTGGCCTCATATGTTTGTTTGTTTTTTTTTTTTAGGAGGATTGGAATCCCTCTTACACCATATGAAGGGAGTCTAGGCGTTGTTAACAATGGTTTTCAAAAGTAGCACTGTTCCTTTATAGCTAAAGTAAAAGGTTAAATAAGTATCGATCGATTCCTTAGTAATCTATTATAATCTAATTATACAGGTAATTGAATCAAACTCTCACGGAGACCATTTGTTATTAATACTGACTTCTAAAAGTGTAAGTGTTTCTTAATGGGATGATAATAATAAATAAAATCTATTTTATGATTTTAGATGTAGGTGACAAGATGGAAATAACGGAACAAATATAATTTTTTTTAAGTGATAAAGCTTCACTATGCCAAGTCATTTAACCGTTCAAACACATCAGAGAGGATAACAAATTGATAATTATGATTTGACGGGGGTTGCATGGAAAATTTGGCAACGGTAGCGTCTTTAGCCAGCTCTTACATAACGTCCTCCCCAACTCGTTCATTCAAAGGATCACAAGGGAGCTAATTGTCAAACCATGTGCCAGCTTCAACTCATACATAACTCTCAGGGTTAATTGCGGTGACAATTCTGACGTTTCAAATGATATAGTATATATTTTTTTAAATGAAGGTAAAATGTCATGTCTTTTTTTAAAAATTTATTTTACGTCAATTTTGATCAAAAAGTGGTCAAAGAGGCTTATTTGCATCTTTTTTAATTTTATGCACTGAAATGCACATTTTCAAAAAGTATAGACTATTTCTGCACAAACCCTATAGATCAGGGGGGGTTTGCACTTAACCCAGAAAATTATATTTGAGAGGGTATTAATGTCTTTTTAGGTGAACATGAGAGTAATTACACCAAATTGATAGTATAGAGAGATTTTATACTACACAATGACTGTTTTGCACTATATCGATAGGAGAAGGGGTTTTTTTTGCACTTAACCCTTTATTAAATTACAACAACTATATATTACACACACACACACACACACACACACACGTGTATGTGCATGGTGTGTGACAAATATGATGCATGTGTTGTGGTCCAATAAGAGATTTAGTCAACTTGAAGTTTTAAACAAGAGAGAGAAAGGGATAGTAACTTTGAATTTAAAAGAGTAGGTGTTGGTATAAAGAAAAAAATTCCAAGTAATTAAAAGATTTTTGTGGGGTCCACACTATTCATAACCCTATAACTGAAGATCAACCCAGTACATGAAAGCAACCCAGTACTACACTACTCATTACTTCTTTTGCTTTCTTTTTTTTTTTTTTGCCCTGGCAAACAAACCGCCAACAGTCGATAACAAGATCAAACAATAGCAAAATGATACAAGGCATCATTAATGCACAGGAGAACCACAAAAGACCAAAAGCAAAACTATTCTAAGAAACCTAATACTAAGCTAAGACATGACTACCATCATGATAACCAAAGCTTAAACGGATTTTGGAGCAGTGGAGTGCCGAAGCGCCAACCAACATAGCATGTTTAGTAACAAACGACTGAGACGAATCCAATGTAAAAGAAGTCGATGCCAGCGTCCCAGTCCTTCTAGATGAAACTGACTGCGTACTCATAAAGCCACTTGTAGGACTCAAATCTACCATCGTACTAACCACACCACCCCCCACAACTTTCAATTTCTTATCCCCCTCAACTCTTGCAACATGAGAGCCACCCGAGATAGATTGACGGTGTTTACGGCCCTTACGAACCGGAGACGATCCTTGACTATTAGAGGTAGCAGATGAATCAAACGTATGTCCTTTCGACTTAGTCACCTTGGCTTTCCATGTCTTATATTCTTTCGCCATTTGATCCCATCGATCCAAAGGCAATATTCGACCTTTAATAGGAGACGTAACCTGAGCACAAAATAGAGCTTCATCTTGCTGCACTAAAGCCACATGGCTCTGAGAAGAAGAACCCGGAAGCAAACCCCCTTTAGGCACACGGAAATGTACGCCAACTGGATTAAATTCCTCAACCACTCCTTTCCCTTTAGGGTCGATAACAGGCAATGTTTGGACATCGATAGCACCCGTAGATCCCTCCCCATGACCATCCCCACCAACACTCGACAAAGCAACCACTGCAGGTTGTACAGGAATCAACTGTTGAAAGCCTTGGCCCTGGGAAGGACTCCCAAACATCCCACGAGACTCAATAGGGTATCTATGAAGTTGACAGGATAAAGAGGAATTACTGCAAAAACCGTGGTGCTCAGCCCCATTCGACTCATTATCGTCAACATACAACCACTTTTTGCCTAAGTTGTCCCCCTTAACATCACTCAAGTCTTTTTCCAGGTGCCAAAGATCCCTACCAAGAAAACCTTCAACTTTTAACCACCCACCATACTCTGTTAAACCCACCGGAGAACAAACCTTTTCAACTGGACAAGCTTGCCAGTGGTGCCCAATAATACCACATGAAAAACAAAAAGAGGGTAACTTTTCAAACCTGACATGAGCCTATGATTCAACACCAGTATGACTAGTTAGCACAACATGACGACGAAGGGGCTGCAATATATCCATCTCCACTTTAAGCTGTAACACACGACCATCCGCAATAATTTGTTCTTGGCCATCCACCATACCTTTATCCCATAATTCCACCTTTAAGCAGCGCCCAAAAGAATCAACAATCCGTTGACCCACCTTCTGTGAAAGAAAATTGGCCTTGACACCCGAAATCTGGACCCAGAATGGGGAAACCTAAAATGGGGCATCAGAATCCAACAGCCCATCCTCCCACGCTTTAATCACCACCAAATGCCCATCAAATAGCCAAGGACAGCCATGAAGAATATTATGATGAACAATCGCATCCGGAATGAGTAATTGGAATAAGTTGGGTGCCATTTTAAACACTTGGAGCCGCTGAGAAGAATTATTATGATAATCCTTCGGCCACAGTTTAGAAAACAACTTATGAAACGTACACTTTGCGCCGGCAAGAGTAATCGTTTTAGAAGTCCAAACTTTAGCAAAGAGGCTATCCTTGTAGACCTGATCCCCTTGAGCTGTGTCATCCTCAGATAAAAGAATAGGCATCTTTTCAACCGAAGTAAACTTCAAGCCCCTTAATTGATCCAGAATACCTTGCGCCATCACGCTCGCAGATGGAGTATCCATACAAAGATAAACAATGAACAGAATTAAACCCCACCAAGAGCACAACAAAGGAAATGTAAAGTATGTAAGAGAAGAGCATGGCAAGAAAGACAAAAACACATAATATATAAACAAAGAGGGACGCAGATGCCAATACGCGATCATCATTTCCAAATCCCCAATTTAAAAAATATAAGACTGACACCAGTGGAAAAACCACTCATGCACAACTCGAGGGAAAATAAATAAAGGAAGAGCAATAAAGGAAGCGTACTCAAGACGGTAAAGAACCCCAGCCACACACACAGGCAACACAATGCCAGAAATGATAAAAAGGAGCGTACCTAGCAGATCCATCAACAGAAATAACAGGTGATATGTTGAAAAAATGAGGTGCATAGGTTCCATCACCAGCCATCCAAAGACATCCACAAAAAGTAATTGGTACGTCAGCCTTGCCGTCATGACCAACCAAATCGACACCCCTTTAGCCGATTGTTCCAGCCGACATTCCAACAATCGTTGGCCAACTCCACACTAGAAGCCGACTGACCAAGCACTCCACCGGTAAGGATACCACTCTGAGTAAGAGAAACACCAATAGGACCCATAGAGCCACCTCTGAATCCAAAGCTTAGATCCCTGAGGTAAAGTAGTAGAAGAAAACCACCAAGAATAAAATAACACCCAAAATCCACACCAAAAATCAAAAACAAACACCCTCAAGATCTAAGATTGGATCACACCACCACCACCACCACCACTACCAAAAAAACCCACTATAAATAGAGAACAAGACAGACAACGAAACATACTAAAAAATCGCAAGTAACGGAAGAGGACACCACCAAAATACCCAAATAATAATCACAGTAGCAAGAACAATATGAGATCTGGAATAATGACAAAAAGGGACATGACGACAAAAGTAATCGGAATCTAAAGGAAGATGAAGAACAAATTATCGTCAAATCGCCACCAAATCAAGACCATCAACCAGATCTCCGCATCAAACCACACCCCACCAGACCATGCAAACCCACAGATTCAAAATACCCAAATCCAGCAAGGGCTCCAATAGAAAATAAAATCAATCGATCAAATATCTCCAAAGAATAGCAGCAACTGAAAACGAAAGGATGGAAAGAAAACCAAACAAGATCGAAGAAAAATAATGAGCAAGAAGCTCCTAATAGCGCCACTCTAACAGGTAGAGAATCTCTTATGGAAGGAGAAAACTCCTATGAAAGGAGAAAAGTCTTTTTTGGGTTTCACTACTCATTACTGGGTTATATTTATTCTAGGTAAAGTTTGCTTCCTACACGAAAATTAAATACCCAATATAATATAGTAACTTCAATTCATCAGTTTTATATTTTAAATCCACAAAACAAGTGATCATGAGTACAAATAACCAAAGTTGTAGCTAGGGCTTGCTCTATATGGTTTGTAGGAACAAATGAGAAGTAAAGCAAAAAAGAAATGAGACTAGTATATATATATATATATATATATATATATATATTGAAATTTAAAGCAAATTTTATATATAAAGGGAAAAAGATACATAGAAGACCTTTGGCCAAAACAGCCTTTCACAGGCAAACAAGCCCAGAGGCAACCCAGCGCTAATCAAATCCGGTTAGTGAACCCTGCGGCGACAGTAGAGAGACACTCCACCCCTTAGTCTGGAGGACGGGGAGAAGGTCCGCAACAAGATGGGGAGAGATTTCAACTACTTAGAATCGATCTAGAGGCCATGCAATCCCTTAGACAGCCCAGTCGAAGTAAGGATGTGATTGAGTTGCAGACCTTTGTTAGAACCCTGTTCTGCGTTAATGGATTCCTTTTGAAGATGCGGTTGTTCTTTTCCTCCTATGTGTGATATACTAGTTCCGATAGTGAAATTTTCCTAAGGACGTTCATTGGAGAATTTGACTTTCATCGAGTGCTGATCCACAGAATCATGTTTTCCTATGTGAGAAAATAATTGTAGAATTTGCATCTGACTTGGATAAATTTCCAAAGAGGGGTTGAGAACGCACATCTGAAGAAGAGATGGGAGTGTGATTCATTGTCAATTCCACAAAGCACACAGGTGTTTCCATGGTGAGCCATAACTTTAGAGTTGAGAGTTGGAATCCTGCTTTGAACTACAAGCCACATGTTAAATTTTATTCTAGGGATGGAAGTTGTGTGCCATACCAGGTTATGCCATGAAACTAAAGGACCATGATCCATGAGGTGGAATGTTGTGTGCCTCAGGCTAAAAGAACCAGAGGGAGAAACAGTCCAAATCAACTTATCCCTCCTGGAAGGTGCAGGTTATTGGAGTGAGGTTAGCTCTAGAATTGCAGAGAAGAGAGCAGGTGGGAAATTCCAGTTATTATTGACAATGAGTTTACCACATTTGTATTTTCATCAATTCCCAAGAGAGAGGATGGTTGCTAGGAATCTCAAACACAGAGGCCCTCCAGTAGACTAATTGTCAATCTAAAAAGAAGTATTAATCCCATTGCCAATAAGGTGCTTGATAAAATGCCTTGCATGGTGTCTCAGCTGCAAAATTTTCCTCCAACTCCAAGAACATGAGTGGGGAATCTTCAAGGTCCAGAAGTTTATGCCTTTAATGAGATGAATTCTGCACCAATTGATCCATATTCTATTTGAGGTATCAATTTGAAGCTCCTATATGTACTTCAAGATTACTGCTTGATTAGAAAATTCCAAGTTGGGAAGACCTAAACCTCCTCAACCTTGGGCTTGCACACTACTCCCTAAGCAATCTTCTCTCCAGTAGATTTCATTTCTGGACCATACCAGAAGAAGGATCTGAAAATTCTGTTAAATTCACTGATGACACTCTTTGGAAGGATGAAAATACTGGACCAATATAATTGAGTAGATACAAGAACAGATCTAATAAGCTATAATCTTCCTACATAAGAGAGAGATCTTGCAGTCCAGTGGGAAATTTTGTGGTTAATCTTCTCTATAAATACTCTACAGTCAGTGGCCTTAAGACATGTTGTGATTAGTGGTACCCCCAAATGTCTAATAGGAAGACTTCCTTTGTGAATACCCAACAGATTAATGATGACCTCTTCAGTATGTGAATTAACAGCAGAGATGAAGATTGAACTTTTTGCCAAATTTATGGTAAGGCCAAACATGGAGCAAAAATAATCAAATGCATATTTAATAATGGAGATGCATTTAATGTTACGATAGCATAGCAATATGAGGTCATCTGCAAAAGAAAGGTGAGTAATACCTTGTTCCTTGCATTTCCAATGGTGCTTGAAAGCTGGAGCTCTTTTTACATAATTGTTGAGGATATCTGTGAAGGCATCAATTACAATAACAAAAAGGAAAGGGGGTAGAGGATCTCCTTGCCTCAGCCCTCTCTTCCCTTTAAAGTAACCTTGGAATTCTCCATTCAAAGCTATTGTGAATAATGGGGATAAAATGCAAGCCATGATGAGATCAATAAATTTCTGTGGGAATTTGAGGAGGGTGCTCAAGGCAGGATTCATCCGAACCACGAGGTATTGAGATTGGCTATCCAATATCGTTCCCATGGTTAAGAAGAATGGGAAGATAAGGATATGCGTAGATTTCAGGAATTTAAATTCAGTTACCCCAAAAGATGAGTATCCGATGCCCATGGCCAATCAATTGATTGATGCGGCCGCCAAGAATGAGATTCTGTCATTCATGGATGGTCACTCAGGATATAACCAGATATTCATAGCAGAAGATGATGTTAACAAGACGGCATTTAGATGTCCGGGAGCCATAGGCACTTTCAAATGGGTGGTGATGCCCTTTGGTTTGAAGAATGCCGGAGCCACTTATCAACAAGCTATGAATGCAGTCTTCCATGACATGATTGGGAAATTTATGGAAGTGTACATTGACGACGTGGTGGTAAAATCAGCGACAAAGGCAAAGCATCTGGCAGACTTGAGGAGATCATTCGAGAGAATGAGAGCTCATGGTTTGAAGATGAACCCGCTTAAATGAGCTTTTGGAATAACAGCGGGGAATTTTCTGGGATTTTTGGTGCATCGGAGGGGTATTGAGGTCGACAAGAATAAAGCTAGGGCGATCATCGAAGCTCAACCACTTCGCAATAAGAAGGAGTTACAAAGATTGATTGGTCAAATCACATACTTGGGAAGGTTTATTTCAAACCGTGCTGTGAAGATCCATACATTTTCTCCACTTTTAAAGCTCAAATCAGAGGAAGACTTTCGATGGGAAAGGCATCACCAACATGTTTTTGAATCAATCAAGGAATATCTTGCTAATCTTCTTGTCCTCATGCCGCCTAGGAAGAAACAGCCGCTGAAGTTATATATTTCAGTTGCGGATGAGTCAATCGGAAGTTTTTTAGCCTAAGATAATGAAGTAGGAAAAGAACAGGTAGTGTATTACCTTAGTCGTATTTTGACACCGGTTGAATGTCGATATACGCCAATAGAAAAAATGTGTCTTGCTTTGTATTTTGCTACTCACAAGTTGAGAATATATATGCTACCTGTTTTAGTTTATGTGATTTGTGCCACTGACCTAATTAAGTATATGATCTCTCGTTCAATAATTTCTGGACAAATAGGCAAATGGTCCTTGGCCCTCATGGAATTCAGTTTCCAATTTATGCCTTAAAGGGCTGTAAAGGGCCAAGCACTTGCTGATTTCCTAGCCGACCATCCATGCTTGGATTTTGATTCGGGAGTCCATGACGCAATAGAGTTGTGTGTTATTCAACTAACTCCCTGGACTCTAATCTTTGACGGATCAAGCGCAAATGATGCCGAAGGGGCTGGAATTGTAATCATTGCACCAAATGGAAGGAAAACAACATATTTTTCTTTCTAGACTTCAAATGTTCTAACAATCAAGCAGGATATGAATCTCTGATTATTGGTCTTGAAATACTCTTAAAAATGAGGGCACAGACCGTTGAGATCATAGGTGATTCAAGTCTAGTGATCAATCAATTGTCCAGTAATTTTAGGTGCCAAAGTTGGCACCTCAAACTATTTCACTCTATAGCCATGCAATTACGACTAGAATTTGTAGATGTAAAAGTCAAGCATGTTTATAGATCGCATAACAAAGAGGCCACTAATTTGACTCAAATAGCATCTGGAGTCAGGGCACCAGAAGGAATAATGGAGAATTTGATCAGACTAATGAAAAGATCATTACCCTCAGTTAAGGTGAGGGAAGAATTGTTGGCAGATGTCTTTGCAATCGAGGTGGAAGAGGATATGAAGGAGGATGATCGGAGAACACAAATCGTCGATTTTCTAAAAAATCCAGACCCTAAGGCTGATAGGAAGCTAAAGATCAAAGCTCTTAAGTTTGTGATGATTGATGGAGACCTATTCAGGAAAAGCATCAAAGATGACCTACTCTTAAGGTGTGTCAGTAAAAAATAAGCCATGAAAGTAATGGGAGAGACCCATGAAGAGATATGTGGTGCTCACCAGGCTGGAATAAAAATGAAGTGGCTGATTAGAAGGTACGGTTATTATTGGCCCGCAATGCTTAAAGATTACATCACATATGCTAAAGGATGTCAAGCATATCAAAGGCATGGGCCAATCCATAGACCTTCGGCGATTGAGTTACAGCCAGTCATAAAACCATGGCCTTTTAGGGGCTGGGCTATGGATTTGATTGGGAAAGTTTATCCACCTTCTTCTAAGCAACATTGATTTATCATTGTGGCAACTGATTACTTTACCAAATGGGTTGAGGCGGTGCCCATGAGATCGGTGCACCAGGAAGATGTGATTCGATTTATCAAGCAACATATTATTTATAGATTTGGGATCCCAGAATCAATCACAACTGATCGAGGTTCAGCCCTTATTGCTAAAGAAGTGCAGGAATTTGCAGCAGAGTACGGGATTAAGCTCCTAAACTTAACCCTGCACTTTGCACAAGGAAATGGTCAAGCCGAGTCGTCTAATAAGACGTTAAAAGGCATCATTGAAAAAATGGTGGAAGATAACCCCAGGGTATGGCATGAACTGTTATCAGAAGCACTTTGGGCATTTAGGACTTCTCAACGGTCAAGCACAAGTGTAACTCCATTTATGCTTATCTATGGTAATAATGCAGTTTTGCCAATGGAAGTGACCTTGCTGTCAATGAGATTCGCATTGCAAAACAATGACTCTTACAGAATACAATGAATCTATGCTAATCGAATTGGAAGACCTAGATGAAGTAAGGTTAACGGCATATAACAAACGTGTTAGGGCCAAAACCTTCGGCGGATGTGACTTGGTTTGGAAGACTGTCCTCCCAATAGGTGTGAATGATCGAAAATATGGAAAATGGTTGCCAAATTGGGAGGGTCCATTTATGGTTTACAAAGTCTTAAAAGGAGGTGCATATCATTTGCAAGATCTTGACGGGGAGATACACCCTTGACCAATTAATGGTCGATACTTAAAAACTTATTATCCTATAATGTGGGGGACGATGGAGAATGAAACCAAAGATAGTTAAATAATCAAAAAGCCATGAAGACATGCATTTCATTCATTGTTCCATTGAGTACAAAATTCATAAGAGTCATTACCTATCATTTTCTCTACAGATAAATAAAATAACTCTTGAGCTCATCCCACTCCTTCTTAGACATGGCCACTTTTTCATCCTCTTTAGCCTTCTCAGTCCTCAGTCGAAGAATTTCTTTTGAGACCGATTTTCTCTGTTAGTCAATTTCCACATTCTTTTCATAAATCTCCTTTATCTGAGCAGTGAGTTCTTCTCTTGATCGGGTAGCTTCAATCAATTCCAACTTGAGACGTTCCATCTCATATTCAATTTCTGCTGTTCTCTGTGTTCCTTTAGCATGAGCCGATTGTAAGGTGCGAAATTGAGAAACATTTTCCTTCACTTGTTTAGTCAGAGATTTTTGCTCTTATAGCTTTTCATTGATCGTGGACGATAGCTCGCCAGCCTTTTGCGAGGAAAGCTGAAAATAAGAAACAAGGGTCGGGAATCAGCTTTGGACAGATTGAAGATGGTTTATCTGCTCTTGACTTAAGCCGTGATGATCTATTAGCATAGACATAGCATCGGTCACATCAACAACCAAACTTGGCATCTCAGAGAGGTCTCGGGACACGACTGCAACTAGTAATCTTTTTGCTCCCTCAATATCTAGCAGATGACTGGGAGGTGTAAGCACGATAACTGGCTCACTCATCAAGGGCTCTAGATTGAACCCAGCCTCTACTTGAGAGAAGGTGACGTCAAAATCATCGATCGTACCGTAAGTTTGCAGGGGCAGTTGGAACTGAGAACTTGAACCAGCCTGTAAAGGAAAAGAAATTAGTAAAGTAAGTCGAGGCTTGAATGAGAGAATAAATCATAAATACTCACACCAACTGGTGAAGGCCGAGTCACATGACTGAAGGTACATCTGGCAGCGGTCACTTGTGCAGAGTAAAGGCTGGGAACTCTTGGTCGAGTGCCCGAGGCAACTTGCAAGAGAAGAATGTTTATGAGTGCCTAACATTGAAAAAGATATACGGGAGATGTACTGAAAGATCATCTTGAATATTACCTCAGCCCCATCTAATTGATGGAGGACAGTGTTTGATTGAGTCGTGGCTTATTGATACTCAAAACCACTGGTGTGAGGGTGCTTGGCATTCGCAATGTCATCACAAGTATTGATCTTGTCTCTCGACAACGACCTAGCTGAGTGTGAAGAAACCTACCCATAAAGATGCCATTAGAATTGACAGGTACATTGATGCTGGAAGTAAAAATGACCTCTAGTTACCTCACGACTGGTAGAGATATTTGTCTCAGCCGAGAAAGTCGATGGCATCAAGGAAGCAAGATTTTCTTCCTCCTCATCTTCAATCAATAAGCAAGGGGCATTCGTCCTAATTGAGGTAACCGGTTTTTTTCCTTTCCCAGCCCTGGTCACCTGAAATACTATTGAAGTTAAAAAAAGGCATATATATTTGGCACATAAAAGTAAGATATGCTTTAAAGAATTCATAAGGAAAACCTTACGTCTCTTGAGGGGCATCACATCTTCTTCATCAGCCTCAGGCATTCTCGCCTCATGATCAGAAACGCCTAATGGATCATGGAAGGCAACAGTTGTATGAAAGAAATCATGTCTTTATGATATAAGGCATAAGCTTGGCATTTATATGTGTATAGGCATGAAAATGTACCTTCTTTTGGCGATTTTGATTTTTTCGTCCTGCTGGGAGAACCAAGATTAGCCACACTGATTCCTTTTGATGGCTTGGTTGAGACTCCTTGGGGTTTGATAAAAATGGAGGTAATCCTATCTACTATGGTGTGTGAATCCTTAACCATAACCTCCGAATATGGTTTCTCCACCAGTAGTTAAAGGATGGAAAAGTATCAGGATTTTCCAGGAATGGTTACAAAGAAAATTTATTGTAGAGACGGGTGAACCGAGAGGATACTCTCTCCATTGTTTCTTGTGAGGTGAAGACCATTCGTTCCAAGAAAGAAATATTGAAAGATCGGAAAGGCGGAAATGGAACAAGTTAGGTGAGACCAAATTGTCTGGCAAATTGTGGGGGATTGTAATACTCCACCCCATACTTGCTATTTGGAGAGCCTAATTTTGAACATCCGTAAGAGATGTCCCTAGCAATCAAGAAACTGGCCTATGTTTGTGCATGTTCCTCTTGGCAACTTGATGGAGCTTGGTCAGGGGGATAGGAAAGCCACAAAGGTTGCCTTAGTCGAAATGAGAATGGTAAGAAAAGATGACTGGCTCGGTATGCAGGGATCTTATAAAAAAAGGAGAACATAGTTTTGAACGGTCTTTTTCCTGGTTGAATACGTGCATAATGATAGCCAGGGATAGGAACAGTGGTCGACAAGTCGAGATTGGGGTAAAGTTCAGGGAAATATGCATATTCCCAAAGTTATAACAGCCAAAATGGCCCAAAACAAGTTTTGAAGTTGGAAGCTACATACTCCCCGATACCATGATAAAGATAGGAAAGCAAGAAAGGAGCAGTGGCAAGTTTCTCACCCGAATAAAGAGCAAGGGCCAATTGAGTAAATTCCTTGGTAAGTGTGAGCGAAGAGACACAGAATAGGAACCTATTCAGCTAGTACACTAGGAAAGAAATATGCTCAGCGGTAGAGACCAAAGATCCATCACCCTTGCTGGCTTTGATAAAAAGTCCTTGTGCAATGATACGCTCAGAGCTCTCAAGTTTCTTTGGATATTCGTAAGGCACTCCAGAGATAGTAAGAAACGGATTTATTTCCTTGCCATGAGGTCTAAGCCCGGTAAGGAAGCAAATATCCTGCACCGTCAGACCAATCATCCCACACCGAAGATGAAAGGCATTGGTCGAGCTCAACCAAAAGAAGAGTAATATGGTAAGAGCCTCTTTATCTATAGGGATTCGGTGTTTCGAAAGAAGGATGGCATCATAAATGCCGACCTTCTTCCATAGTGCTTTATATTGAGGTTCAACCCAATCAGTCCAATCACTTTGAGAGTTCGGACAATTTTTGAAGAGATTGGTGAAGTCCACAGGATTAGAGAACTTGCGTTGAAATATGAGTTGCTCCTTGGCTAAAGGACAGTAAGGAAGAAGTGAAGCTGGTGGACCATCTTTGAAAGCTGGAACAAGGCCGAATCTAGGAGATGAGTCAGAGCCTAGGACACTGGCCAACACTTCGTCAACGCCATAAATATAAGTATCGATAACTTTTCGAATAAGCTTATCAACGATCTCGGCGTGATCAGAAGACTTACTACTGGCTGGAATTGAAGTGTTCTCAGCAACAATCGTTACATTCTTGTTGCCACCCATTGGTTGAGATCTTAAGGAAAAGAAAAAGTGAAGCCAAATTGGAGAAGAACTAGTGAGAAAGATAATGGAAGCCAAATTTCTGGGTTTATTGGCAGAGAAAAAATCTCACTTCAAAATACTCACTAGTTGACTGATCGGAGTCAGAGTATTTGTGGTGGCAACTGTCGAGTTCCTTTTCACACCCTTTATCTAAAATTCGGTGGAGGGATGGTGCCCAGTGGAAAAAGAACTGGCAAGAGGGGTGAGCAGACCTTTAAATAATAACTGTTATCAAGGAAACTACAACAGTTACTTAGCTTACAATGAAAATAGACATACTAATTTTGTTTATAGTCATGTTCAAGCCAAGTTTAAGGCCACTTAATTCAGCATTCAAGACAAAACACTAAGACTGATTTTTATATTTGAGCTATTGGTGTATATATATGTGTGTATAAACACGTATCTGAAGTAAATACACATACTAGTAGTCGCCATTTTCGGTGTACTTATTCTGATGGTGATCTTTGATTCGTCCTTCAGCTTTTTAGATATCTCAGGTTGCAGAAAAACAAGGAACCGTGATTGAGTGCGCAACAAACCACAGTTATTCAAGATCAAATGAGCAACTCCTCTAATGTTAGGTTTGTCTTCATCGCTTCAAGGATTGCAGAGCTGTCAGTGTCTCACCAACATTGAGATGAATATTTAGATGAATTCTTTTGCTAATATTCTAGCTTTCACGGTAATCTATAACTAGCACAAAGAACACTATTGAGCTTGTGACTTTTTAGTAGTTTAGAGTTAAAACCATTTCTATTTGTTATTGATCTAGTTACTAATGCTTCATGTGTTCTTTGCATGACACTTATTTTTGTTGAAATAAGGCAATAATTTTTAGTATACTCCTAACAAAATATCTATTCCGGATGATAATGAGTGTGTTTTTGCTTTAATTTCCAAAAAAAAAAAAAGAAATTATGCACTTATTAAAATGAATGGCAGAGCCATTGTTAGCTTTTCATTTATTTATTTTGTGTTTTTAATATTCTATTTTCAGATTGCTTGAAGAATAGGATAACAAGTGCAGAATGGCTGTCTAGAATTTTATTATCTTTTTCTATTTTCTTATGGTTTAATCTATATGTTAGGATGTGAGGCAGTTAAATTACTTTATATTACATATTTTGGAATAAATGCTCCCTAATTCAAATTTTCTTTGAACTTGTTGGGAACTGAGTTTATATCATTTTGAAATTTAATGGAATAGACATCATGTTACCCTGTTAGGGACGCATCAATGTTTTTAGTTGTTTTGATCATTTGAGTGGACATCAAACTATGAAGTTCC